GTCCAAGGTTTATTGGACCGTTTAAGGTTCTTCAGAGGATTGGGAATCAAGCTTACAAGCTCGAATTACCCGAAGAACTGAATGGAATTCATAACACTTTCCATGTGTGTTATTTGAGGAAGTTCACGGGAGAAGTTCCCGATATAATTCCAATTTCTGAGTTAAGAATTGATAAGAACAAAAGGTTAATTGAAGAACCAGAGGTAATAGTTGACCGAAAGACTAAGAAGTTGCGACGCAAGATGATCGAATTAGTGCTTGTCCACAGGAACATACGAATGGGCCAAATCTCACCTGGGAAACGGAGAGTGACATGATGAGTCGCTATCCGCATTTGTTTGTTGATGTGTGATTCCGGGGACGGAATCATTCTAAGGTGGAGAGAATTGTAACGCCCGTGTTTCTGGGCTAAGCATTAATGATAGTCTAGGTTAACCTTTGTAACTCATTTTGAAATAATAAGAATGTATTATTTGAGTATTATATGTTCATTGCTTAATTGTGTGATTCAAATGAATTAAGGATAAAAATAAGCGATAAAATAAAATGTTAGATAAACCCGATATCGATACATGAAGTTGTAGTGGTCGTGGCAAGGTTTCCGAATATATAAAGAATGTCGAAATCTGAGTTATAACGAAGAAGTTATGACCTGTCGAAGTTTCGCGACAGAACCGACACGGCACGGTATGACGTAAAATACGAATTTAAGATAGATCGATATCTAGCCTTAGTGATCTAAACGGAAGTCAAAGAGTTCGTTAAACCGAGAGCGTGCATAAAAAGTACGTCTAAATCTGACTTCGTATGAGGAAGTTATGATTTTTCTAAGTTTCGACTTAGCAGTATGCAGCCCGAAACTCGAATATGAGATCGAGTGACTTTTAGCCAAAACAATCTAAACGAGAATCGAAGATCTCGTCGTTAGTAGTCCAACGGTAAAAAGACAGACGAAAACGGATGTCAGATGAAGAAGTTATGATTTTATAACGGAGTTTTCCTGTCCCGGCCTACTAAAAATAATTTAATAAAAATAAAGTCAAAAATAGCCGACGAAGTCTAAATGAAAGTTGTAGAGCATAGTCTCACCTATGCGTGGATATAAATAACGTCGAAAACGGAGCTCGTATGCGAAAGTTATGAGTTTTTGAAGTTTGAGGCACGCATACCAAAGCTTATCCGAATGGAGCCTAGGGATGCGAGGTACGCCCAACATACAAGGAGGTACGCCCAGCGTACATGTCGACAGCGAGGTACGCTCCGCGTCGGATGAAGTTACACCTCGCGTACAGCTGCTTTCCTCGGTCCTGAAGAGGTCACGTCGCCCCACCCGAAGTTCGCCACCTGGCACCTTATCCGAAGTACGCCCAGCGTAGGGCCTCGGTACGCCCAGCGTAGTCCAAGGTCTCGCTGCTATAAATAGGAGGCCGAGGCTGTCGATCTTTTTTGCCCAAAATATTTCTCTCTCTCTCTCCCATATTTTCTCGTTTTGCGTGCAAGAAATACCCCCGAAGCCCCGATATTATTCCCGAGACCCGAAGCAAATCCCGAAGCCCCGAAGATCCCGAGAAGTAAAGTTTCCGAGCCGAAACTCTGCCCGCGAGAAGCCTGGTTTTCAAGAAAACATCCCGGTTTTATCGGAAAAGATTATTTTAAGAGACGAGGTGTTGTCCGATCATCGTCTTATCAAGTGAGTGTATATTCGTTTTCTTCTAACACATAGATATGAAGTATTCTTTATAAAACACATGCTATGTGTTTATATATTATTTGTTTATTTGAACTAGTTGTTGAATGGATGTTTTGTACAGGTTTTAAGCTGTATATAAATGTATATATTTTATCTACTAATATGTTGGGTAGAACATGGGTAGACAGATGGTGTGTGATGAAATAAAATGATGAGAGACCTCGTTGTTGTTGCTGATTCAGTCATCTAGAGGAGTTTAGATGACTACCACAGACTTTTCTAGACAGTCCAGTGGAACGCTAGCAGGCTCATAACCTGTAGGTGTTAATGAACTTGGGTGTTCATTTGTTGTACTCCATCCCCCTCATGGATGCCTTTAGGACAATTGTGGAGGAAACCCCTTCGCAGTAATGTCCACCCCGATGAAAATCCTTAGACTAGGTCCATTGTAATAGTTGTTTTAGGGACATAAAGTGAGGATAGCGGGAATGGGTAATTGGGTTATTGTTGGTTGATAAACTAAATATAATTATTTATTGTGGGTTGAAAACCCTATATGCTCACCAGGCTCCCAAGCTTGACCCACTCAGTTTTTCTTTGTATTACAGGTAGTGGCACGAGAGCATAAGTTGGATGACTTGTCAAGATATTTTGGATTATAAACCATAGTTAAATATAACTGTTGTAAGGTCTATTTTATATTGTTTATGCTTTTGGTCTGTATCGGAACATGACATCCCGAGTTTTGATATATAATGAAAATACATTTCTTTAATAAATGCTTTGATAAACTTTATTTTATCATGTTTTGTTTTGGGGACAAATTTCCGCAACTCTTTTAAATCAATGGATTTACTCTAAAAAAATTTTAAAAGCATAAATGAAACCGGTCTTTTCTGGCCGTGATTTTGGGGATGTCACACCTCAAAGGAACAGTTTCGTTAGGATTATGGTATCCTTTGAAGACATGATTTTTTATCCAAGGATTTTCTGATGCACACCTGGGTGGATGTCAATTGGATCGAAAGAGCACAACTAGAGGATGTCAATTATTGGACGGGAAACTTGTGAGTTGGCAATCGAAAAAGCAAACTTGTGTTTCTATTTCGACTGCTGAGGTAGAATACGTTGCTGAGGCGGCGTGCACATCACAATTAATTTTGATTCAAAGCCAATTGTGTGACTATGCAATCAGCATGAAGAAAATACCTTTATATTGTGATTCCCATAGTGCAATCTGGTCCAACAATCGAAAACGAAACATATTGCTCTTCAGTATCATTTTATCAAAGACCATGTTGAATATGGAAACATATAAGTCCATTTTGTCAAAACAACAGAACAACTCGCTGACATTTTCACAAAACCTTTAGATGAAAAATCGTTCTTAAGGAATTTCAATAGTCTGGATATGATGGAAGCATGTTATGTTCCTCATTCTATTTGAATCTGACTCGAACATAAGTTTTATCTTACTTTCGATTGTTATTGATACTTTCGATTAGTAAGTATTTCTTTCGTGTTTTAACTCACTTTCGCCTGTTTGTGTTCTATTCAGAGGTTACCGTTCATGTTCAGTGTTCGACTGGCTTCACATTCGACTTCCTTCTGAATCGTTCAGTGTAGGTTTCTAATTCGCGTCTATTGAGAGGCTTTCGGCGCTCAACTTATGTTTGACGTCTGCTAGACCATGATTCGAACGCATCCAGGTAATATTTTTAAGTTCGTTTATTTTTGTTTTTGATGTTTTTTTTTTCAAAAATCAAAAATCCAAAAAGATTTTTTTTTTGTTTCTATTTTTTCAAAAATCAAAAATACAAAAATATTGTCATTAAAGTCTCATTGTAACAGCATGATGCTATTTCGCATGCGAAATGAACATATTCATTAAGGGAACATGTATTACTAGAAATTATGTACTAGTTAAGTGTCCCTAAAAGCATGATGTTGCATGTTGTCCTCTAAGCCTCAAAGACTCTATGTGTTCGAACCCTTAATGAATCTTTCACATGAAAGTTTCTTCCTAATCAGGATGTATTCACATTAGTCGACGAGCTACCGTACTCTTCTCATGATGAGTCAAGATTTTTCTGCTTGGTCCAAATTTTCAGCAGAGATACAATGAGTTCTTTCACCAAATCTTTTTCACCAAAATTTCTTTCACGATCACACACTACATTGCATATACTCGACATCTCTAGTCGAAACCTACCAGAATGTAGATATGTCAAAAATCTATGTTTATGATCCTGAGTCATTCTTCCATGATGATGGTGAAACCCAACGAACCTAACTATTAAAGAATTGACGGTGAACAACATTGTTCAAGATTTTCACGAAACAATTGTTTCCTTGTACCGTTTCGATATTCAAAATCTCATTCCATTCGAATTGAGTGATCTTGCTAAAATGTTCTAACAACAAGACGTTTTTTCCCAAAAAGATCTAGTATTTTAGTTTTCTTTTAATGAGATTTCCGTCTGAATATCTTTTCTGAACTTTTGTCACTTATAATCATTACCAACCAAACTTGTTCTTGACTACACTGGTCATCTAAGTAATTTTGTTCAATTGAATCACACTTATGTTAAGTTGTGACTTTGTGCAAAATTGAAGCCGCCTTCGAAACCAAAGCAAATGAATCCATTTGATGCTCATCAATGAGTATCCGATTGTAATTCACGAGATACCACACAAGCAATTCTTCATCTCTCTTGATGTCGAATGAAGAGATCTTTGCCCGGGATCATTTTGCTTTTGTATTAAATGAAATTTGATATCACTATATCCACATTTTGTTTTATTTGCTTCTATCTCATTCTTTGGCACACGAAAGCAGTGAAATCCTTGAGGTTTTGGGTATTACCAACTCGAAACTTAGATCTTGCAAAGTCTGGCATATGATCTCGCTTCCAAATCCCAAAATCGAATGAGCCCAGCCTCCATGCTGAAGGATTGGTCTTACCTTGGTGTCGAATCACATGCAATACTTGTTTAAGCAACTAAACCTGTGATGGTTCTTATCCAACTGGGAAAAGCGAAAGATCCGATGGAAGTGACGGTTCAAGATTTTCACGGGAATCAAGGAGAACATGATGATTACTTTTATGACGTGGAGTTTTTTACGGTGTCAGTTAAGTAACCAACACAATATGTCATATTTTCTTAATGGATACCGGTTCAAATTCAAACATAAACACCGATTATAAAAGGAAGACGATTATTTCCTTGTCAAACTTTATGCTCTCTGATCAAACCTCAAAGAACCTTAACTGTTCATCGTTTCTAAATTTCTCCAAAATTCTCTGCAATGGCTGCTTCTCATCACAATGTTAATCCAACAACTACTAATGATGAAGAAGTCTCACAACTGATGATGAAGATCCAAACCACTAATATTCGTCTAGTTCCATCTCTTGATCAATATCTAGAGGAATTACAGATGCTTGTTCAAACTTTGAAGAACTTTGTACTATCGTTTGCACTTTCCTCATCATTTGCAATCCCGATAGAATGGCTTTCACTTGTTTCTTCAACCGCAGTGTTCAACAAAACTAATAAGGTGGTTACGTTACAGATCTCGGATTAAAAACAAAGAAGCTCACTCGGAAGAAGTTTGCCCAAATTCTGAAATTACCAACATCAGGTACTTTCTATGAAGTTACAAATGATCGGGTGATTTATATGTTCAACGAAATTGGGCATCAACCTACCTTAACCACCATGAGTCAGTTTGAGAAGTCTAGTCTTCCCTCTGTTTGGAGATTTTTGTTTGGGATTATACTAAGGTGTTTAACAGGAAGAAGCTCTGGGCGTGATAAAGCTAAGCTTGAAGTATACTCAGTCATAGCAGGATTGTACTATGTTTTAAATGTGGATTATGCTTCACATTCATGGGAGGAGTTTGGAATTTCAATTGCTCACACGTAGCTAACAACTGGTATGTCGATTGCTCGATTTTGGAGCTTAATTCTACAGGAGGTTTATAATTAAGAGAACATTTTTATTCCATTTGGTCTCATAATTGTCGAGTTTCCGGTAATGGCTGCTCCAAGGGTTTTTCTCGATGATCCTAGTGTTTTTCCCAATGTTGCTCGCATTCCGTATGCAATGCTCAAACTTGTGGATCCCAAAAATCAGTTGTTGGTGCAATAATTGGCCTCTATTGATTCTTATAATCCAATTGGGGTTCTTCCACCAAAGGGGTTAGAAGGAAAATCTAAAGGCTCGAAGGCTCCAAAGAAGAAGAAACTAGTCAAAAAACCACCAACTATGGAGGAGGAAGTTGTTAAAGAGACTATACCCACGAAAATTGGCGTTCTTAAATGAACTAAGAAACCAACCAAGAAGCCTTATGAATCTCCAATCAAGACAACTACTCAAGAACCTGTAGTTGAAAGTTTTGATCCCAAGGATGTCGAATCTTTAAATCCTGTTTCTTGTAAGGGTGGTCCAATGAAGGTTCGAAAGCCACAATTTACCAAGAGGGGTGTTCTATTTCGTGAAGTTTCGGTTTCAGGATCACCGGCCTCCAAGAAGCGTCGAGCTATTGATATGGCTCAAAAGTTAAACAATAAAAAATGTGAAGTTAAAGTTCCATTTGAGAATGTGACAATCGAAACAGAGCATGTCAGTGGTAGCGAAAGGTCTAATGTTCGCATCGAGGATTCTTTTATTGGTTCACCTCGAAGGGATTCCCATGTCGAGTCGAATCTCGAGGAGACAAGGGATCCTAATGTCAATGTAAACATATCTGATATGGATACAAACATCAATTTGAGTGATCAATAAAACACCAATATCCATGAGAAGGAAATTGTCAAACCATCCGGGCTTTCGAATACCGAGTCCGGTCAGGAGGAGGTCAGAACTCTAGACATCGCTGTGAACTTATCTAATAAGGATACAAATGTCAACATGGATGAAGGGATGTTCAATAATGAATCTAATGCCACAACTTTCATTCCAACTTCAACAGTTTTACCACCACCTTCATCTCCCATACCTACTTCTGTTCCATCTTCAACTATCTCACCAGCATTTTTTGTTGTCATGCAAGAACCTATCACCATGCTTTTCTCATCCCAATCTACAGAAAAGTAACTTAAAAAAAAACAAACCTGATGATGAAGATGTCTTTTTTTCATTTGCTGACATTCAATTCAACCCAGAAGAAGAAGATATCCCTGATGATCTAATCATGTCAGGTAAACAATTCAAGATCCTCAACTCAAAGATGAATTCTCTTCTTCAAATTGTAGCAGATACTGGAGGAAAGCATTATGTAACTGGAATCGAAATGGATTACTTGATGAAAGCTCAAGAATCTCGGCTACGAAACTTGATAGCAGATATTGAGCAGAAACAAGAAGAACGTTTAGCCTTTCATTCAAAGATCTATGATTATGAAATACAGAATCTTCGTGATGTTGCCAAGACTCCTCATGGCCTTTTCATGGAATCACTAAACGAAATGAAGGAGTCTCTTACTGTCAAGGTTGATGAGCTAAAACTCGTGATGATAGAAGAAATCAAGAAGATGGAAGATAACAATAAGTTGCTTCAAGACAAATTCGATGTTATTGTTGGTTCCATCACTCGTTTAGTCGAAATCAATAATGAGTACACCAAACAATTAGAAGCCAAGTCTGAGCAGGACGTTAAGGTGTTCGAAACAATGAAGGAATTCCTATCTGGAATTAAAGAAACCTTATCCAAGATGTATCTTTCAAATCAATCCACTATGTCTCCAGAATCTCTATCACGGATGGTTTCGACAATTGAGTCGAACATCAAAACTAAGCCTGCTCCTATCCGAAATTTGGTAAATTGTTTACCAACTAATGCTCCTCGTGCTATGCAAGTCTCGCAAAGGGGAAATAGAGGAGTTTGTGGACTGGATCTTCAAAAGATTCTGATGGTGAAAAAGGAGTAGTGGTTGGGAAGGTCATTTCGACTCACATTCTAACTTCAATTCCCATGAAGCAAGTAATTGTTTCCTCAACAACAGTGAATTCAACAAAAATGTAATGAAAGCTCCATCAAAAGGAATTTCAATTAAAGAAGGAGAAGAGGTTCAAGTAAAGATCTTGTTAAAACAACTTCGACAACTAATCCAAAAGACAAAGGGAAGGTTATCACGATTGAACAATCGAATGAAGAAAACAAGAAGCAACAAGCTTCTGAACTGGAACGTTAAAGGAAAATCAACAACATCCTTTAACAGAGGGAGTATGATCCTCCAGGCCTAAACAAAGGTGACCCGAACAAGCATTGGTATTATGAAACGATTGAAATCGCAGTGTTGGGGAAAAATGAAGAAATTCTTAAAAGGCCTAAGAAAAATTTTGAAACTGAAAATTCGGACTTCAATCAACTCGATTTCCCAATCAATCACATGTTGTTCACATATCCACAATTCAAAGTAGCAGATAACTTCAAAGATAATAATGAATACAGAAACCTGTACATTTGTTTTCATGCTATCTTGGCCAAAAATGAAGGTGATGTGTGGTCGTTAGTGAAAATAGTGAAGGTGATGAAAATTGATTGGGATACCTTATTCGAGGGTTTGCTTCAAAATTTTTGATATTCAGTTGTGAGAGCTAATAATGTGGAGTTCGAATTCACGATTGTTGATTTTCCTCCAATGAACCTGAATGATCTTATTTCGATCACCAAGATTCTGATCAATGTGGACGTATCAAAGATCCCAGAGGTGAATCGAAATGACTTTATCATTGGTTTTGGTTATATCAAGGCTTACCTGGAATGCTACTATGAATATCTGGAAATTACAGATATTGATCTAGCCATGGCAATCAAGAAGTTTGCAAAAGTGCCTCTAAACCTGGAAAAGGAAAAGTTGAACATAAATGAGTATGAAGACGGAGAAATCATACACGATCCATATGGTGTTGTGTTCGAGGGAAAGAACAAGAAAGGAACTTTGACAAAAATATTATTTCAAATCACTGACCTGAAGAGATACACAAATTCCCATTTCACAATCATCTTGATCTGAATCAACAACTGCAAGAATAATGATAATGAAGATAAACCTGAGATTATGAAGATTGTTTTGTGGTATATAGAAGTCAGAAGGGAGCTTCTACAGACTATGAAGATGATTGCTTAATTTCGACTACGCTCACAAAGGGGGAGATTGTTGGAGTTGAATGTGTATAGTGAGGAGTCGAAGTAGTCAGAGTTTGTAAGGTGTTGAAAACATCTTGACTTCGACATTCTATCTATTTTACAAGGCATATTAGTTTCAATACTTGAATGTTGAGTCCTTGTAATTTTTTGCGAGTCTGATTGTATCCTATAAATAGGATAGGTACATAGAGTAGAGGAAGAATATTGAGCGTCATTCTACAACTTGTACTCTCGAACTCTTGTACTCTTTCAGACTAATATTTGAGCCAACTAGATCATATTTAGATCTTGTGTTCTTTACTGCTTTCATAATATCATTTGTGTTTGTAATCAATCCTAACACACTTCAGAAGCTAAACAATAATAAAAATATGATTTTAAAGTAATAGAAGCTGAAAATTCTCTTAAATCTTGGAACCAAACGTGTATTATATATATATATATATATATATATATATATATATATATATATATATATATATATAAGAGAGAGAGGGGGGGTTCATATGTTTTTGACAACTATTGTGTGCTTATAAGGACCAATGAGAATTCATAAAATATTAAATAATTAAATAATTCATTTAAGGGTATAATAGTAATCTATGCACCTTTTTATATGGAAAATCCTAAGATATTGGACCAGTTCTCCTTTAAACCCGTCATTCTACATCTTAAAAACCCTACTCCATTATTACCGATCACAATTCTCCCCATTTTCATATTTTTTTTCCTGATTTCCACCATCGTCCTCCTATTTGCATCCGACGATCTCCACCCAACAGTATCCACAAGCACCGACGACCTCATTCCTCCAACATCGGTTTTTTCACACCCTATCAAACGACACCAAGATCCATGCGGCCCTCTTCTTCCACACACCGGTCGTGTTGCCAGGCTTTCCATTCCCTCGACAACGATTAATTCTTCGACCTGGCCTCTATCTCCTTCAATCGGCACTCATATTGATCCACTGCCTTTTTTGATTGAGTTGAATCATCCCAGTTTCTCGTCTCTAAATTTTTATCAGGTAAGACATTTTTTATTTTTGAAATTCTTTTCTTTTTCAAATCAATTGATTATTAGAGTATATAATATTTGTTGTGGGTTAACATGTTTGATAATAATGTTCTGGATACATGCCAAGCCCATTACCATTGGAATTTATAATGGTTACATTCAATGTGATTTTTTCAATTTTAAAATGAATGAAATATATCAATTGATTTTATGGCAAGTATGTAATCTTCTCAATGGTAAATTTTGAAATGGTTCATTTTCATCTGATATATTTATTTGTTGACAAAACTTCAAAAATGGTCCCTGTGGTTTCAAAAAATCTGAAGTTTGGTCCCTAGTTTACAGAAACCTCACGGATCGTCCCTGTGGTTTCAAAACTTTTAATGTTTAGTCATTCCATCTAACTCCGTCAGC